CGACCATGTCGCACTACACCAGCTGTGCCTAGCAAAGGCACAGGCCGACCTCAAACTCCAACAAAGGGCCAAGGCACCCCTTCTCAACCACCAACAAAGAGGACGTTTGAGAAGCAAATTTGAAGGAATCAACAGCTTTGAACTGCTTCGGACGCGATCACAAAGCAACAACTATCCTAAGCTGTCACGAGACAAGAGCACCTCACCAGCACCCAAGCCCAAAACACCACAGAAGACCACGACGAACGCACAGCCTACCTACGCACAAATAATGAAGAATCATAGGGAATCGACGCTACAGCTAATCAACAAGAGAAAGGAATACGAGAAACTCAGGAAGAAACTCAAAGAAGAAGAGAACAATCTATCCAGAGCAGCGATGGAAAGACGCAAAGAAATTGCTATGGTGCAGGAGGAGATCGACAGAATCGACAGATGCTCGTCTTCCACGTCATTTTCACCACCACCATCAACACAATCGCAATACAAAATTCAGCAGCAGCAGCTGAGGTCGACACCCAGCACATCAACAAAAACGAACAACAACGAATCAAGCACAGACGATTACACCACGACATCACAGACCCCTGCGACGGAAGAAAAAATAATGAAGTTTATGCAAACACTGCAAATCCAAATTCAAGCCCAAATGCAAGCTCATACGGATGCAATTAACAAGAGGATGGAAACATACGAATATATTCTGACCCAACATGGTCTCACCAAATAAGAAGAAAACGAAGAGTGGCCCTTTAACAATTCTACAATGGAACTGTAGAGGGCTGAAACAGAAGCGGGAAGAACTCAACTTACGATTAGCGGAGAACCCACGAGATGCCCTACTAATACAAGAAACGAAATGTGACACCATCTCTTTAAGGGGGTACAACAAATTCTTCACACCGTCTATTCACCACAAACAAAAGGGCAAAACAGTAGTACAAGCACAAGCCGGGATATACCTCGACAAAGAGCTCCCTTTCACACAAATAGACACCAGCAAATGGTGCAATGCCTCTCAAGAAGTTGTAGCGGTCCGAACGCAGATAAGCGACAAAAGAATTTGTCTTGTGTCCACGTACGCCAGACCAGGCACCCTTGAACACGAGAACGATGACTATTCGTGGATGCAAGAAATTAGGCGGTCCATTCCCAACGACGAGATGGTAATCGATGGAGACTTTAACGCTCCAAACACGGAATGGAACTACAGAACAACCTCCGTCAGGGGACAAAAACTGGCAGAGGCATACGAAAGGGCAAATCTACTCTTAATCAATGACTTATCAGTAAACACCAGATATGCCACAATTCAGAAACACGAAGATACCATACCAGACCTGACTTTTACTACCCAGAAAATCAAAGCGAACTGGGAACTAATCAAAGACACATGGGGAAGTGACCATCACCCCATAGAAATTCAGGTCGAAAACGTCGCAAAGCACAAGAGGAAAAGAACAACAAGGACGGTCATATGGAATAGATTCAGAGTAAAAATAACTGAGGATTTACACGACGAATCCATTGAAGAGTTCACCAAACTCATGCTAAGGGCCACAGACGAGGCCACCGGGAAGCGGCAAGTCGACTTCGACGCACCAATCCCAGACACCAGACTACTGTCTTTGTGGCACCAACGATCCAAAACGCTCGATGAGTACAGAAAAACTAAAAACCCCAATACGCTCAAATTAGTCAACGAATTAACGACTGAGGCCAAAGAATACTCGCGGAAACTAAGTCAAGACAATTGGTTTTCACTATGCGAATCGTTTGACGAACATACATCGCTTGCAAAGTTATGGGCAATTTTTAATGCCATGTTCGGAAAGACCAAAACAAAACAAACAGTACCAAACATGGCCCTCGGTCAAGATCTAACAATAGAAGAGATTGCCGAAGAAACGGGGCCGATATTCTTCCCCCAAGCGGAAGAGACACCAGATCAACAAATATACGAGATCGAACATGTCGACGTGAACGATCCGAGTAATGTAGATTTCACACCTTGGGAATTGGAGGCGGCGATAGAGAAAGGAAAAACAAAAAGCACACCCGGACCTGATCAAATCAGCGGAAGCATGATCCGGAATTTACCTACAGAAGTCAAACAGAAATTACTCGGATGGATAAACGAAATATAGAACCAAGGAACGATACCAGATAACTGGAAGTTATCCTGGGTGACACCAATTCCCAAACCAGGAAAGAATCCAAGGTCATCACAAAACACAAGACCCATATCACTCACATCGGTGCTATGTAAACTAATGGAGAGAATGGTTCTTGGCCGCATCGACTGCATAACAGAAGAGAAAGAAATATTTCATCCGGCACAAACCGGTTTTAGAAAACATCTCGGGACACATGATAGCCTTCTATTAGTTCAATCAGGAGTTCTAAAATATCCGACGAAGCACTATCAAGTACGAATTCTCGTGGCCGTAGACTTCAAAAAGGCCTACGATTCGCTCCCACACCAAGCCATATTCGATAGCCTCAAAAACCAAGGAATACTGGGTAAGCCACTAAATTTTGTTAAAGCGTTCTTGAAACATAGAACATATGCAATTAAAGTAGGTCAGCACCTCAGCTCAGTAAAGTCCAACAACATCGGCGTACCCCAAGGATCGGTAATATCACCGACCTTGTTCAACCTCGCAATGGCTCCATTGCTGTGGGAGCTTGACAAAATAGAAGGACTCCACTGTACGGTATATGCGGACGACATTACAATATGGACAAACAGAGGCCACTCGAAACGCCAGCAAGAAATCCTGCAAGAGGGATTAAACACGATCGATACATATCTCAAATCGATTGGACTTAATCCATCGCCAGAAAAGACCCGATACATGATTTTCGGCTATATGGCACCTGCCAACGTGAAACTAAAACTTAACGGGACTACTATCGAAAAGACAGAGGATCACCAAATACTGGGAATAACAGCCAATGTTAGGAACGACCCAACTAAATGGATACAAAGAATGACCAAAACGTGGAAACAAGGAGCATCGCTAATCAGAAGAATCGCAAACAGACTCGGAGGGGCGGGAGAAAAAGTGGCTCGAACACTGACTCAAACAGTGCTCATCTCCAAAATTATGTATGGGCTAAGATTTTACAAGATCGATAAAAAGAACATGGAGAAACTGGAAAGTTTACTAAACGATGCGAGACGGTGCATTGCAGGATTGCCACGAAACGTCAAGATAGAAGCACTACACAAATGCGTCCCTTTTCCGAGTTTTGAGGAATTACGAGCGATACAGGAAGAAATGCACAAAATTAAGATGCTCAATACGAAAGAAGGGCGACGCATCATGAATCTGCTAAATCAAGACACGAGCAAACTGGATGAATTTCCGGAACAGATGCCACCATGGGAACGGATAATGGTAGTTCCAGGCTCTCCCATTCCCAAGAACATGGGCCTTGATCACCAGGAAAGAAGAAGAAGATATGCCAAAAAACACAACGAAGAAGTTGAGCTCATCCGCAATGACCCCGAGTTAGCGATATACTATACGGACGCGGCGGTCAGCAACAATAACGCAACGATAGCCTTTCACCTCCTAAACATAGGAACATGGGCATACCCAACAGTCACAGACACCCCGGAAGAAGCCGAAGCGCAAGCAGTCTTGGCTGCAGTAGAACACGCAAGCAGCAGTAGAATAGAAAAGAAAAGAATAACAATTTTTACCGATTCACAAGAGGTTATTAGAGCATGTAAGATACACCATGCGGTAAGCCCGACAATACGAAAAATCCTAAAGGCGGCAATAACAACACTGAAGAAGAAGAATGCAACGATACTCCTGCGTTGGATCCCGGGACACACGGGGATTAAGAGAAATGAGATTGCCAACAAAGTCGCGAAAGAGTATAGTCGTTCCCTCCTTTCCGACAGACCAGGCCAATCTCAGCGAGATCACCCGTACTCTACTGTATTAAAAAGTTTGAGTAAAGAATACGATCCTAGAGCTACCATAAATAAGGCAAAAAAACAACTACAGCAACAACTACGAAACAGGCTTCCCGAAGAACACGATTCTATCCCTTCTGGGCTCAAAAGATACCAAACAGTTCTTTTGAGAAGGGTAAGGACAGGAAGTGCTATAACCCCGCACCTCCTCAAGAAATGGGAAACAAAAGAAAAGTTCAGACAGGACCCGAAATTCATACCAAAACCACCAGAATGTAACTTCTGTAGAGAAAAGATCCCAACAAATATCGATCATCTCCTGTGGAACTGCAAACACTTCAGAAGAGAAAGGGAGGATGCACATGCAACAATAGATCCCGAAGATAAGCCCGAAAACCTTAATGAATGGATAAAACCAGCAGGGGATTCCGGAAGAAGATTTCAACTGCTCAGATCCGTCATTTCCTACCTGGAGAAAACGGGCCTCAGTAAAACTTTTTGAATTTTTTTAGGCCATGCCGTAGAGCAATTGCCTGAGCCTTAATTATGAAAGAAAAAATAAACGTATTTCATCATCAACATATACAACACTCCTCCACACTTAGATAAAGAAGCACTAGTACACCAGTCCATTTGGAAGGCGTCGAGCTCTGCTCGACCGTCGAACTTCCTGAGCAGCTACGCCACTGTCACCATTCAGTGGCATAGGCAGCTCACATTCGCCCGGTTGATCAACATTCTCACTGTCACTCGATCCACTCTCCGAAGAGGCTGATCGGGACGAGCCCTCACTTCGAAAGCGCAAGTGATCAGCATGCACATCACGAATCTGGTTAGCCACCCGCACCAGCTATGTAACCGGACTGATTACTTTCTTTAAGATTCCTATGGTCCAGTTTACTATCTCCCCCCTCACATTTCTGTCCCAAACTCTGTCGCCCACTTAAAAGAGTTTCGTTGGACCTTTTCGCCTATCAGCCAGCTCCTTTTTCTTGTTTTGCTTCTCTCGTCGTGGAAGGGATGTTGCACCTGGCTTGAGCTGCGGCAGTCGGGTCCGCGGAAGCCGTCACAGGAACAGCTCTGCAGGGGCCTTTCCAGTACTTTTGTGTGGTGTCGTCCGGTAGGCAAGTAGGAAACACGACAACTTCTGGATATTTCGTCTCTTCTCTCGGAGGTCGTCTTGAAGTACTTGCTTGAGCAGCGCTCGATTGACTGTTATCACAGCCTTCTCCGCGGCGCCATTTGAAGCCGGGTGGTAGGGTGGCGTCATGCTGTTCACCACTCCTTGATCCTTCAAGAAGTTCTTGAACTCCTCACTTGGAAACTGTGGGCCTCCATCGGTCACCAGTTCTTCGGGTAGTCCAAACTGTGCGAAGACAGCCATAAGTTTTTCGACTGTCTGGGGTGCGGTTGTGAAAGACATGGGCAGGACCTCAACCCGTTTAGAAAAACTGTCAACCAAAACAAACAGGTTGGTTCCCGACTTGGTTGCAAAGTCCAAATGAATACGTTCGAAGACCCGCGAGGTCATCTTCCATGGCAGGAGTGGTACTGGGCGAACGTCGTTTTGGACCGCTTGGCAGATCTCACAAGACTGCACCTTGTTCTCGATCATGGTGTCGATTCCGGGCCACCACACATGCCCTCTCGCAAGTTGTTTCATACGCACCATTCCTGATTATTCTTCATGCAGGCTTTTGAGGGCCGCAGCCTGTAGTGCCTATAGAATCACGACTCTAATCCCCCACAGTAGGCAATCTTGGTCCGTTGACAGCGTCTCCCGCCTCTGCCAGAAGGGTTGCCACCCTGGATTTTGCACGGATGTTGGCCAACCTCTCTTGGTGTGTTCAAGGACACGTTGCAGCACGGGGTCGCCGAGTGTCTCTTTCCCCACATCCGAACTTGAAAGAAGCGGTTGCTCGGTGGGTGAAAAATATTTCAACATACTCTCCTCTCCTACAGTTGTCTTCAGAGGAAGTCTCGATAGGGCACCAGCATCCCCGGGCTCCCCGCCCTTGCGGTACAGGATCTTGAAGTTGTACTCTGCAAGTAACAAGCGCCACCTCTGGATCCTCGCAGCAGCTATGGCTGTTGTAGAATACTTAGGCCCCAGGATCGACGTTAGCGGGTAGTGGTCAGTTACCAGGGTGAACGAACGCCAAAAGAGATACCAGAGGAATTTCTTGACCGCAACTATGAGTGCCAAGGCCTCTCTTTCCAATTGTGCGTAGTTCTTTTCAGCCACAGTAAGCGCCCTAGACGCAAACTCCACTGGTCTGTAGTCCCCGTTTTCCATGTCTTCTGTTAGGACTGCTCCGAGGTTGTCGCTAGATGCGTCGGCCGTCACCCGAAGTGGTAGACTAGGGTCGTAGAGGACAATTACACCAGCACTGCACAACTGATCTTTGCTTCTGTCTACAGCCTGTTAGCATTCTTCCGACCAATGTCACTTCTTGTCTTTCTTTAAGAGTTCATACAAAGGTCCCAGTGTGGCAGCTGGGTCTGGGAAGAAACGAGCACAAAAAGCTAGCAGCCCCACAAATGCCTTAACCTCAGTCACGTTACTCGGTGCGGGTGCTTTTTTGATAGCCTCTACCTTCTCAGGGCATGGCTTCAAACCCCGCTCACTCAACATGTATCCCAAGTAACGCACTTCGCTTACAAAAAAATTGACACTTGTCCTGATTCACACAAAGTCCATGTTCCCGAAAACATTTCAACACTTCCAAGACTCTGGTTGGAGTCATTTTGGTCTACGCCACCTACCAGTACATCATTAAGATAGCACGCTACCTTGGTTAGGACCAACAAACTCTTATCCATTACACTCTAGAAAATTGCTGGTGCGCTCGAGACTCCGTAAGACATACGTAAAAAACTTAAACAGTCCTAGGTGAGTGGTCACTGTGAGCAGTTTCCGCGACGCTTAGTCAAGGTCTAACTGCAAGTATGCAGTCATTAGGTCCAAAACAGCAAAGATGCCACACCCCCGAAAGTTGTTGAACACCTCATCTACCCTCGGTAATGGGTAGTGATCCACCGTCACCTGCGGGTTTATGGACACACTGTTGTCACTACAGATGCGAACTTTACCCCCTGGCTTGGGAACCGCAACAAGGGGTGTTGTCCATTCACTACTTTTTACAGGCCTCGGAATGCCCTGCGCCACCTTTTTCTCAAGCTCACTCTCCACTTGCTCTATAAATGCATATGGCACGACTCAGTGTTTACAAAAAAAAAAAAAAACAGGTTGAGAGTTTTCTTTCAGTACAATCCTTGCCTGAAAACCCTTTATCGGCCCCACTGGACCTTCAAAGACGCTATGGAACGACCTTTTCAATGAGTCTGTCATCGTTTCGTTTTCGATACGACCCACGCCCGACCAGTTAATTTCTAACAGCTCGATCCAATCTCTGCCTAGAAGAGCTGGCAGCTGGACATTCGCGGATTTTACCACAGTCAAAGGTAACTTTTCGCTTGGTAGCTCCCCGTTTTTTGCATTAACGCTCGCTACACCCTTGATTGGCACTAGAGCCCCGGTGTACGTTCGGAGACGCATGTCACTCGCCTCAAAGGGCACGTGAGAAAGCAAATTCATATACATTTTTTCTGGCATCAAAGTAACTGCTGAACCAGTGTCGATTTCCATCGTCACCGGTTTCCCTTCGATTTACAATACATTCTGCAATACCGCAGACCCGTCATTCTTCCGCATACAGGTTACGCTCCAAGGCCCGTGCTTGGTGTTCGAAGTAGGCTTAGGCTTGGCCCTACACACCACCTTAGTGTGCCCCTGCTTCCCGCATTTGAAACACTTTGCTTTCGAAAACGGACACTTCTCGGGAGCATGCACGGTACTAGCGCATCTAAAACAAGGGCCTACCGTACGCTGATACTGGACCTGTGGCAATGCAGTGGCGGAAGGTGGACACCCGGAGTGTCCTTCACCATCAATCACCTTGAACGCTGTGCACGTCCTTTGAGTCCAGAACGCCGGGCTGTCGTATCTCGTCCGTTTTGCGCAGAGAAAGTTCTTTGGTCAGGCCCATCCTAAGAACTTCGTCGAAGTAATCTTCGTCGAGCTGAATGAGTGTCCGCTGTACCTCAGGGTCGCGACACCCCACCACGGGCCGGTCCCGAAGAGCCTGGTCGAGGTAGTCATTGAACGCGCATGTCTGCGCGAGCTTCTTGATAGCCAAGGAGAAGTCCGCTAGGCTCTCGCCGACCCCTTGATTTCTGCAATCGAACTTCGTGCGCCCTGCATTCGCTAAGCGCTTGGGCGCGTAGTGGCGTTTCAGCACCTCGCAAAGTACGTCGTATGATTTCGATACCGGCGAGTCTGGGACGAGCAAGGTTTTCAGAACCTGGTACGACGCTTTCCCGATGTAGTTCAGCAGCGTCACGGCCTTGTCTTCTGTCTTGATAGCGTTCACTCGAAGAAAAATCTCGAAGCGTTCGAGATATTCGTCGACGTCGTCCTCCTCCGGCTTGAACTCCGTGAACTTCGTCATTGTGCTCTTTGCCACGTTGTTACTCGGTTCGTTCGGTCTTCCATCCGAACCTCGTCGCCATTGTTGTGTCGCGCCGAAGCGCCAAAGAACAGAAGCTCCCACGCAGAGGAACAGCACACAAAGAACAAATTTAATGTGGTGAAGACACATTTTACAGGGCAAAGACCAGCGCAACCTGGTGGTGAGAATAGGAACCTCTTACATTGCTTTATACATGCACAACAATGAACAAGCCCGAAGTCTCTGTAAACGAACATCAGAAATGCCACACGCAGATGGCACTGCTCAACAGAACACCGAAAACTACTCCTTAAAACGCCACCCAGTTCAACCCCCCTCCCCACAAAAAAAATATAGAGAGAAGTTAGAGATTCATATTAAAAATAGCGCAAAAGAGACGTGACAACAAGCCGAAGAAGCACACAGGACAAGCGCTAACTGGCAACTGATGTTTATTGAATACTTAAAACTTTGCTATGGCCGTGCACGCGCTTAATCTCGTCCCCCCCCCCCCCCCCCCAAAAAAAAAAAAAAAACTTGGGGCGTACCGCCAAATGAGCAGATACAGGCCGCCCACCGCCTATTGCAAAAACTCCGCAAAACGGCTACATCACCCCGCCGCACAATTCGAACGAGGAAAGGAATAGAAAAAACGCCGCATTAATGTGATCAAGTTAGATAGTGTTAATAAAACTGTACCTTTTCGTCTGCATATACACCGATGCGACGCTTACGCAAACGTCTTTGTCACAAGCATGTATTTCTGCCGCCTCCAACAACTCTCGTTCTATCCTTCCTTTGTCGCCTCCCTCCACCTGTGCACCGTCCAGCATGGGGGAATAACCACAAGTTTTACAATGCCCCGGCGAGTGGGAACCGTAATTGTTGCCAAGAGAAGCCGCAAGCTCTCGAAGTCGATCATTTAAGCAACGTCCCGTCTGCCATATGTAAACACGACCACACGTTAAAGGAATCCTGCAAACCACCTCAGTGGCACAAGGCACAAACTTTGTCACGTTTTTCTTGCTACAAACAGGTTTCTTCACTTTAGGCCCGCTCACCATAGCGCCAATCTGCACGGGGCAGTAAAAACAACGTCCACGTCGCACTTAGGCGCTATCATTTTCAAATTGTGCGACATCTTATGAATGTGAGGTAGTACTACAAAATTCTTTGATTTCTTTTTAGGTACAACTTTTTATGTACAGTGTTCCAAGCGAAGTGTCTGGAGGTCAAAACTTTCACTAATTACATGCGGACACGACTTCAACCGTGCTGACCGGCGGTAGGGTGATGCGGTGCCCCTCTCTATCAATTTAGAGTGGGCTGAGTCAAAAGCTAAAAGGGCATCTTTTGTTGCAGGTCGACGTCCCCACATCACAATGTTTTCAGCTCTCCCCTCAAAGAGGTGTCTCTCTTCCCTGCTCTCCGCTGTGATGGGAAAAAGAGTTTGCTTTATTAAAAAAAAAACAAAAAAACTAAAAGCCTACAATCTATACAATTTCCTTTTGAAATGTTGATATTAAGCGGGGTTAAGTTTTTAAATTAAGATATATATAAGGACTCTTTATTTTCGAGCGTCAATTTTGAAAATGCTTTCCACGATTATATTGTTTAGGTGCGTATGAATATCACGGTCGTCAGGGTGTTTAGGGACTGGTGTTTGTCCCTTATTTACAATGTGAGACTTATGGCAATAAAATCGCTCTTCTTTAGGATTTTTTTTTTGTTTCTCCCGAGTATTACTTGTTACACAGCGTGCAGTTAATAAGATATATCACGTCAGGTGTTTTGCAGTCGATAGGGTGTTTGCTATTTACGTAGGAACCTGGTGCGTGGCTCGAAATTCTATCAGCGGACAAAACGAACGTTGTAAGTTGGCAAGGATTGTTGTGGCAAGGACCGTGACCGC